TGTCATATTTTTAGTCTTGATGAAAATTAAAACAAATGGAGTAGTATAAATAAGTTTTATATTTATCTCTTTCTTCTAAATTCATTTAAAGATATTACTCGTCTTTCAATAAGGGGGAGTGTGCACAGTTAACAATTCAATCTATTTTATTTCCATTGAAGGCTTGCAAGATAAGGATCCTGAGGTTTGAGTTTGATGAAAAATAGACATGTGATGACCAACTTTAGGGGATCCTTAACTTCAGAGGATCCCCACCCCATGTCAAACATAACTTTAGAGGTAGTGCAACATGATGCTAATATTGAGTTGAAGATTAATCCACATGGCTCACATGCTTTGGTCCTGAGTCCTGACACCTAACTTTCAAACAACTTAATGTGAGGTTAATCAAGATACTTGTGAAGTATCCATGGATGGCTGATCCAGTCCATTATTTTGAGAACCCCATATGATCCATAATTGCTAAGAGTATTAGTTTTCTCTTTAGTTGGGAATTGGAGTGGACCCTTTCTTTGTTGTTAAGACTTGAGAGGAAAAATAATATGGATGATCAACAGGGGTTTGATCAAGTTGGAAAGGGCTAGGACCTACATTTCTCAAGGTAAAAGTTTAAATTTTGAGAAGTGACAGACGTGATAATTAAAACAGTCTCAAAGAGGTTATCTCATCGGTACTAGTAAGCACCGTAAGGTCTTTAACAATAGGATCCAGATTAGTCTAGAACAGGTAATGAACTTAGAATATCTCAAGATACTGAGCAATCTAATACCAAAAAAAAAAAAATGAAGGCATGTGCGATTTTGGTTCACATATTTAAACAGTCCTTTTTCTTTTCTTTAAAAAAAAAAAATGCATCCCTCCTTGTTTGTGACAATTGGACTTGAAAAGACATTTGAAGTCTGAATTTGGATCTACTCCTTTTCTCATTACCATGAGTCATTCCGAGCTACCATATTGAATTATAGAGAAAAAAGCTGTGAGTTCGATAATGTTAGACCTCAATCTCATGCCCTTTCCCCCTAACATAATGCTTCATGTCTCAACAAATTGAGTATGAGATGTAGGTTAGAAAACGTTGGCCAAAAAAATTAGAAAACTTCAAAACTAGTACTTTATATTATTTATGACACATAACACATAAACTAACTCTCTGTCTAAACCATTAATGAGTTTTTTTTTTTTTTAACACTTGAATCATTAAAACCATCCAAATATTAAAAAACTCATGGTAGGCAGTCAAAGACAAGGAAACGACAAAATGACCAGTTGAAAGAGAAGGCATGAAGAAACAAGGAGTGATTACACACACACACACACACACACACACACACCAGATGATGGTGTATTCATTAATGACATTGCTTCATTTTTTAATCATTTTGCAGTTTCTGGTTGAAGAAAAACACAAGGACCATGTGGACACGCTTCAACAATACAAATCAAAAGCAGAGTTCTACATGTGTTCATGTCTGAGCAAGAACAATGGCAGCAGCAACAACGTGGGTCTAACCCCTGCAGGTTTACTTTACGTTCGTCAGTGGAACAACATGCAATACGTTTCAACAGCATCATTTCTTCTCACTATATACTCTGACTTGCTTCACAACACAAACCAGAGACTTACCTGCAATGGAATAACCGTAAGTCCTGAAGAAATTCTGGGTTTTGCCAAGTCACAGATTGACTACATTCTGGGTTCTAACCCCATGAACATGAGCTACTTGGTGGGCTATGGGTCTAACTATCCCAAGAGGGTTCATCACAGAGGGGCATCAATGGTGTCCTACAGAGAGAATAAAGGGTTCATAGGGTGCACGCAAGGGTATGATAATTGGTACAGTAATGAAGGACCTAACCCTAATGTTGTTGTTGGGGCTCTGGTTGGAGGGCCTGATTTTGAAGATAAGTTTGAGGATCGGAGGAATAACTACATGCAGACTGAGGCCTGCACCTATAACACTGCTCCTTTGGTCGCAGTTTTTGCCAAGTTATTGGACTTACAGAACCAGAACTTGTTGGTTCCTGAGTCCAATTCTCTTATGGTTGCTTCCATTTAATTAATATGGTAAATAGTGATATAGTAGTCATGTTTCACAAGCCAATTTTAACTTTTTAAGTTATAAAATATATTTTTTTCCATCCTCGTTGGTGATTGATTTTGCAGGAAACGCGGAATGTCCTGCCCAAATGTACTCATCATCATCATCATCATTATAGGAATAGGCAAATAGCTGATGGTTGACGATATATCATCTATGTTATTTTCAAGGGGAAATATATGTATGGGGAAAACTTGTCCCCTCTTTCCTAGGAAGAGGACCACAAAAAAGATTGGGGCTATTTTATGCTTCTGTTCGGCCGTGGGAAGTGGTAGTAGCTAATTTTAATTAGTCCTCATCCAAAATCTGAAAATCCATATCATTATCAATATTGAATATAAATTTATACAGAATTATGCTATTTACAAGGTATAAATAATGTGATTTATTTTTTTTATTTTTATATTTCTTAAAAATCAAAAGTTTGATACAATTTAATCAGATGTATGATAAAAAATTAAAATTAAAAAATTAAAATAATATAATTGTGCAAAGTTACCAAAGATGTGTGTGTAAAAGACAGTTTAACACCTGTCAAAATTATGGTTATTCATTTTATATTATATATATATGTTAGGAGGGTTTAATTTTAAACCCTTAACTTCTACGGATATTCATCTTATTCTTATTGCGAAAAGTATGACTTTTTTTTAATAAAAGTATCCATTATCCCGTTTTATTTGATGTCAAATGAATATAAAATTATTAATTTCACCAAAAAGAAATTGTTAACCTGTCAACCACGACGACACAAGAAAATTAACACCCACATGAATGAGTTGGAAATTTTGAATTTGTATTAATCAACTTGCCCTGTGACGTCGTTCCAATGGAACAAAGAATTTTCCTTGGAAGTGACGTGTTTGACCGGCTTCCGAGTTCCGACCCCATTCAAACGAAAATTTCGTAAAATAAAAAATAAGAAAATTATTTCGTAATGACCAGAGCCGACACTCAATAGTCATGCAAAAAAAGTCCCGAGGGTTGCCTAGGATTGTGCAATTACACATGGCAACATAAAAAATTAATAGGAGTATTTAAAGATTTGAAATTTATAAAAATTCACACTTCCATTTTAAAATAAAAATATTTCTATTGAGTATAATATTAAATTAATGTTAAACTTCTTAAAATGATAACTTAACCTCTCTAAAATTATTATTAAATTTTTTATATTACAAAATATTTTTTCTTGAAGACTATAATAGACATACAAGTTTTGGACAGTGTAAAAAATGAGCCGTAACCCTTGGGCCCAAAAAAAAAAAAAAAAGAACAACAAGAACAACAACTCAGCCCGTGAGCCGCCACCTTTTCATTTCAATTTTCAACACATTTTATATATATTTAACGACCTCCATTAATTATTATACTCTTCTCCTGCAAGTCATTTTCAACGTGTTTAATTGCCATGAAAGAAAATCTTAAAATATATTGGTTCTGTTTAAAAATTTGATAATTTTTTCAACTTTATTTTTATTAAATATATCTTTTTAAATAATATACTCAATTCAAACTTTAATATAAGATATTTTTTAAAAGTCTTACTTAATTAAAATATAAAATATTGAGTAAATATATATATATATATATTTTAATTATACTTTTATTTTGTTATCCTCGATTCAAGTAATTAACAAAAATATTTTGAATAATTCAAATATTATATTTATTTAAAAGTATGATTGTAGAGACATGAATTTTTTAAAAAAATTAAGATTTAAATTAATTTTTTAGAAATATAAATGAATTAAGAATAACTTATATTGCAATAAGAGAATGACAATTAGTCCCGAAAATTTTTTATAAAATAAATTATAATATTAATTTAAATAGTTATAAATAAATTTCTGTTATAATTTAAGAGTCATTTATTTTAACTTATTTCATGAAAATTTTTTTATTTTTTAAAAAATATATTTTGTGAGTTTTTATTATATTTGTTTAAACTTTTAAAAATAATCAAAATCTGAAAAAGGGTAAATTTTTAATTATTTTTAAATTTAAGAAGTTACTTTGAGTATCTTCTGAAAAGGTTAAATATACTTTTCGTCTAATTTAATCTTTTAATTTTATAAAATATTTTTTTAATCATTTAACTCTAACATTATTAATTTTAAATAATTATTTTTATGTTAATCATTACTATTTTAAAAAAAATTAAATATAATATGTTAACATTTGATAATTTTTTTATCAATATTTAAAAGTTGAATGTAAAAATTTGTTAGAATAAAATTAATGATATTAAAATTAAAGGATTAAAAACACTTTATAAAGTTAAAAATTAAAATAAAATATTATGTAAAATTAAATGACTAAATGTATACTTTAATTTTTTTAAAAATAATATAACGTAGTAGATGTAAGAGAGTGTTTTAAAGAGGTGAAATATATAAAGATATTATAAATTTTAAAATAATATAATAATAAATTATTTTTATAAATCAAAAATAAAAAATATCATAAAATTTAAAAACAACTAACAAATACTCCCTCCCTTAAAAACTACAACATTTCATATATTTTTTTATTTAAAAAATATAAAATATAGTATTAAAAAATATAATACATTTTTAATCTTTTAAAATATAATTATTATTTTTTTAAAATGTTTTTATTAAATAAATTATTTTATGTTTATTTTAAAATAAAATATTTTATTAAAATAAATATAAATATAAAAAATAAAATTAATTTAAAGACAAATAATTATTCTAAATGATGTTCAATTAAAAGTGTGACCATATGATTGAGTCTTATCATTATTTTCTCACAAAAACACAGCGAGTGATATCATTGCCCATATGAAACGAAAAGTCAAAAGTCAAAAGTCAAAACCAAAACAAAGACGCGTTCTTCCATTCCATCGTACTATACCGAAGCAGAAACATGACATCAAATAAAAGCACTCGAACCCGACTGGCAGACCCCATTTCATCTCAGAAGGAGCAAATAGACACCACGCCAATGGCTAAATCTTACTGGGTTTCTCTGATTCTGTTGATATTCTTGAATTATCAGATTCCTTCACAAGCTCAGCAAGAGTACGTCAACAACAAGCAGCTCGACTGCGACAGCGGCGTCGTCTACAATGCCACCTTCGGCAATCTCTGCAATGGCGTCTCTCGTTCCTGCAATTCTTACCTCACTTTCCGATCAATCGCTCCTTACAACACTCCTCCCACCATAGCCTTTCTCTTGAGTTCCACAGCCTCTGCTATCGCCACCGCCAACAACATCTCCGACGTTGCCCTCATCCCCGACAACACCATGGTCATCGTCCCCGTCAACTGCTCCTGCTCCGGCAAGTACTACCAGCACAACGCCTCCTACGTCTTGAAGCAACATGGAGAGACATATTTCAGTGTTGCCAATAATACCTATCAGGCCCTCACTACTTGTCAAGCTATTGAGAATCAGAACGTTTATGATAAGCGGAATCTCAGTGCTGGCATGAATTTGAGTGTGCCTCTTCGGTGTGCCTGTCCCACGACGAAGCAGGAAGATTCTGGGTTTAAGTATTTGCTAACCTATTTGGTTGCTCAAGGAGAATCGGTGTCTGGTATTGGTAGTCTATTTGGGATCGATGAACAGAGCGTTCTGGATGCCAACGAGCTTTCTGACAGTGCTTTTATTTTCTATTTCACTCCGATTATGGTTCCTCTGACAAAAGTGCCCGACCCAATCAAGCTAGCGGCCTCCCCTCCTCCTCCTCCGCCGCCTTCTACAGCGGCGGCCTCTAACGACTCTAGCTCTTCCAAGAAATGGGTCATCGTCGGGGTCGCGATCGGAGCTGTTCTTATTCTTCTTCTCGGCCTGTCGGGATTTCTCTTCTGGTATTGCCGCCGCCGCAGCCACCAGTGGAAATCTCAGCTGCCTTCTTCCGCTCCGACATCTACCGACATCACCAAGAAGACCGCAGACTCCGGCACGACCCGGTCTTGGTCTATTTCTTCGGAGGGGCTTCGCTACGCCATTGATTCGTTGACGGTTTACAAATTCGAGGATTTGCAGAAAGCGACGAGTTTCTTCAGCGAAGCTAACCAGATCAAAGGATCTGTATACAGAGCAACGTTTAAAGAAGACGCCGCCGCCGTTAAAATCTATAAAGGCGACGTGTCGAAAGAGATCAGCATTCTGAAGCGACTCAACCACACCAACATCACGAGGCTCTCTGGCTTCTGTGTACACAAAGGAGACACCTATCTTGTTTACGAGTTCGCCGAGAATGGCTCACTCGACGACTGGCTTCATCCTAACAACGACAAAAGCAAAAACAAGTTTCAGAATTCATTGTCGACTCTGAATTGGAGACAGAGGGTTCAGATTGCTCATAATATAGCTGATGCATTGAATTACCTTCACAACTACACCAACCCTCCTCATATCCACAAGAATCTCCAGAGCGGGAATGTGCTTCTGGACGAGAATTTCAGAGCTAAAGTTTCCAACTTTGGATTAGCAAGAGTGTTGGATGATGACGAAGAAGGTGGGTTCCAAGTGACGAGGCATGTGATAGGTACACAAGGGTATATGGCACCAGAGTACATCGAGAACGGAGTGATAACTGCGAAAATGGACGTTTTCGCATTTGGGGTTGTGATTCTGGAGCTGATATCAGGGAAGGAAGCCATTGTTGGGGAGGAGAAGCTTCTGTCATCGTGTGCGAGGGAGGTGCTTGAAGGAGAGAATGTGAGGGAGAAACTTCGAGGCTTTGTGGATCCAAGTTTTGGGGATGAATACCCTCTGGATTTGGTATACTCAATGGCACAGCTTGCTAAACGCTGCGTTGAACGAGACATCAATTCGCGACCAGGCATTTCTGAGGTGTTCATGACACTGTCCAAGCTTCAATCATCTACGGTTGATTGGGATCCTTCTGATGAGCTTGACAGGTCCAGATCTGTCAGCAAAGTGTCTGATGCCAGATAGACAGATACATTCTGATAAAAATACACATGGGCTAACTCTTTCTCTCATCAAAATTCTCAGACCCTTGAATCCAGAAATATGCGGTGCCTCATGAGTGACGAGACCTGAGAACTTACTTCTCAATTTTGGCTGCTCGCTTTTCAGTATTATTATGATCGCGGATGATTAATTGCTCCACATAAAGAATCTTGAGTTGTTATTCAGTTGTTTGATTGACGTTGCCTTTGTATTTGACAATTAGGACACCCGTGGAAACCCATTGTTGCCAATGGGGGCAAATATTTTTCTTTGCACTTAATTTTTTGTTGGATTGAAATTTTTTGGACAATAATGCAATGCTATTTATCATGATCATAAATTTACAAACATTTGGAGCATGTTCAAACAAAACCTCGTCTTTATGGATTTGATTCGACACGAGGAAGTCTAGTTTATATCCCATTTGGAACTTGTTCCCTGTTTCCATGCAATATGAATTTATAAAATTATTAATTACTCCTTATTAGTTTGTTTTACAATAAAAATTAAATTGTATATGGATATTTTATTGTACTTCTATGATCTTATTTTTAAATCATCTTCAATGTTTTATCAAAATTAAAAAAAATATTAAAATTTATTAATTTTATCTAAAAATTTAAAAAGTTTTTAATTTTATCTCCATTAAATATACACACTTTCATAATATATTTCTCTCTCCAATATTCAATAAAAGGTAAAAAGAATGATTTGTGATGAAAATTGAATAATATAACTTATATATAAGACCACAAATTTTTTTTTTTAATATACCTTGTAAATAGAACCAGGAAGAATATAATATATGAATATTCCAATTAAGAACTATTGGAAACCATTTTGTCACCCCTTTACCAGAGCTGTCAATAGTATGTGCCTCAGACCATAGTTCAGATACAAGACGTCCTTTGAAGCACACGTTATTAAAGAAGTCAAAGAATTGAGCAGCAACATAGTTGAACATAATACATTCTCTAAGTTTCAAGCTCTAGTGACACGTATCGGTGGGATTGTATCATTTGCAAATAACGCCACGGCTATATCTGAGACAAAGGATTACACAATACAATGACACAGAAAGTACAGCATAGTGCATTGTGGCTATCCACCGTCCAGTGACTTGTATGAGATGAACGCCGTTTGCCTGTTCAATGCATTCATCAGCTAGGACATGTGCAGATGATATCCTTATGACCAATTAGGAATATTTGCTGTAGCTTCGTTCACCATTTTTACCAAAGTCACCTGCACAAAGTACTTATGCACTTGTAAAGCTCCTCCACATGGTCTCCTTGTCACAATCTTAAGATAATTTCTTGAGGGAATCTATAATTTGCACACAAGTAATAAATTTCAAATGAATCATCCACAACCTATTTTTGCCCCTTTAGTTTCATCCTTTATTCCTGAAAATGTCTTCAATGTTTCTCTTATGTCTCTTTTCCACTCACAAAAAAACATAGAAGCTAGCAGATTGCGGATTTAGTGAATCTCAGGAGCAGAACTTTTGGATTACTGGAATTAGGATTTCTAATCAGGAATTCTTATTTGATGGAGATTAAATGTGCACGCAACGTGACTTAGCTAGCGAGTTAACATTATTGAAAGTATTTAAATGTTTGAAGAATTGAATTATAAGAAAACGCATGTGAAGGACTAAATTTAAAATGCACTTGTCCAGAGCAAAAAGAGTTACTCTAAATTTCTTATGATTGGACTGTTTGTGTCCGGGTGTTTATCCATATTTAGAGGCTACAACATCAAGAGACAAGGAAATGAATGCTATCGTAACTAAAGGTTTGTAGTGTCATAACATGTGATTATAGAATTTATTACAGGCGTTCCTTTCAGCTCAGATTCTACCCATGGATCAGTCTCCAACTATTTATGCCTTAATATTAAATTTGTTAGGGGAAAACCAAACATCTAATCATCTGGTGGAAGCGTACGTGAAGATTCAAATAAATCAACCGAATTAAGATAAGTTCCATATGTTTGAAGATCCTTGCGCCCTCCACCCCAAAAGAACACCAGAATAAGGGAAATAGGTAAAACCAAGAACAACATAATCACTGTTAGTGATAGAATACCAAGGGTGATGAAACATACCACACTTTCTGGAACACCAGGTGGAGGCAATGGAAGATTTTTTGGGGGAGCAACACGGTCATACGATCTTTTGTCAAACCTCCATTCTCCAATCTTTCCATAGGTAAGCTCACCCTGAATATCATGACATCATACACTGAGAAACAAATGCAAGATGCTGAATATAAAAGACAAGCAGATTTTCATTACTTGGGTCAATTGAGATGTAAATCAGTGTCCCTCTTTTTCCCTTTTCCATTCCATTCACCGATGGATATTAGAGTAAAAATGTCCAGGAGATCAATCTAAATAGAGTACCTTCATAGTGTAGTCACATCCATATGTGTAGTGAATTATATATGTCTTCCCGATTTTTTTGTCAAATGGAGGCTGCCACACATAATAAAAAGACAAATTGTTGAAAATTTGGACGTAGAAGATGTTCACATGATGAGTATGGATAAACCTTTGTAAGTATTTTAGACTAATCTTAACAATTGAAAAGAAAGGAAACAAGGACCAAACGCCTTCAAATTATAACAACAGGAAAACAGTCCACGCTAAGAAAAATGAAGTAATGCAAGTCATTGGTTTCATATGGCTCTGTATGACGCATTGAACAATGCAAAATTGTTCTGCATATTGCATTCTAATTAATTAAAGGGGAGAGTATAGAGTACTTAAATGCATACTGTGACAACTATTCTATTTGGCATCGTATGATATAATAGATGAAGAGCATATTTGGTTTCACGTTGGAAGCCACCACCAAACACACAAAAAATTAGAGGTCCTCAGCAATCAAAGACAGCCAACTATATCAATATATACAAAATGAGGGCCTTATCAGTCCAAGATAGCAAAAGAAAAGAGAACCTGAATCATGAATTCCTTGTATAATATGTTACCAACACCATGAAGAGCAGATGAAACAGCATAAGCATACCTATTATATTAGTAATACAAACGTAAGAATCAAGAACTTGTGGTAACTTAGTCTATGAAAGGAATATGGATTAGAGACAATTACATTTCAAGCACCCAGCCAAATGCTTTATCTGTTTCAGGATCCTTCTTCATTGCAATGGAAATATTCATCCAAGTGGGAGCAATCTTCTTAAGGGATTTCTGACATTTTTTTAAATAAAATCAAATGAACCCCAAATTTAGAAATATATGCATGACTAACACCAAGAAATTGATATATACCTTCCTGACAATAACTGGTGAGTTTCCTATAGGGTCAATGTTGGTTACTGGTCCACTTTCCTCAGGGAAATACTTCCTCAACACTTTCTCGTACTTTTTGGGTTCAATGTAGAAGAAAGGAAATGCTGCTCCAAGCCCGTCTCTGGATAAGTTGGGTATAGGCTTGACAATTATATGATCCGGCTCAGCCATCAATATGTATCTGATACACGATGTATATGGCATTAATAAAGTAAAAAATAAATAAAATGATAGATGATTTGCAACATAGAAATTTGTAGTTAAATTCCCATACTCTTCTTTAATATCTGCTTCTTTTAGCCATTGTACAAAGGCCCAAGGTCTGTTGAGGACTATATAACCCTGTATAAACGAAAGTGAGCAAAACAAGTTTCATTTTCATTCAGCCAATAATAATAGATAAAAAAAAGAAGGTTCATGAAGATAAGTTCTGGAGAATCTTATTTGTTATTCCACACAAAAAGATAGGCAGGACTGTTAAAATTATAATCCCAAGAATTTTGCCTTCCTTTGTGCAAGGTTCCACTGACAATCTCCATTGTCTTTTCTGTGAAATTAGTAATTATATAGATAAGATTCTTAAGTGCTCAAGATCAAGCAGCCCAAGTTTGAATATCTTCTATCTTCCATAACAAAAAAGGGTTGGTAATGATTACAAGAATTTAACGATTCATGATCTGATTTGATGTAGAACCAAACAAATGCAAACTATAATACAACTCCTAATCCTGAATTCCCCATTGCAAGCTCCAGTTCTAAATTTACAAAGACAACATAAACTAAAGTAATCAGCCTAATCATCTGCATTCCATGCTTCTTCACAATCAAAGCATCGAACATTTAGGTTCTGTCACTGCACTCTCGCTGATGTGCGCTAGATGTGTTAGAAAGGGTATTTCTGTCTCGTGCTTAATAGAAGTAAATTAATTAGTTAGATAGATTTGCCAGCTTGAGTTGAGTTGGTGTCCTTGAGTCTAAGATGAGACTTGTGAAATGAATTGAGCTTCCTTCTCTTCTCTTCTCTTTCTATCTTCCATTATTCTAAATTATTAGTTCCCACTTCCCAGAACTTCCAAAATTGAAATCTCAAATTCACAATTAGAAACCCTAAACCCCAACTAACAAGGATATCATAAACTCATATTATTAACATAACCATCTGCGTTCCATATAGCATCAAATCATTGTAGAGAAGAATGTCGTCCAAGTATATATATATATATATATATATAGTAGAGAAGGACATACAGAGTCCAAGAGTGCTTTGATATTGTTCTCTTCTTCCTTCCACAACCTAAGAAGGAAACTAATGATTACAAGAATGTAGCAATAAGCCACCGGATTTGAAAGCACAATATTCCCAATCCCAAGTTTCCAATTTACAAAGACATCATAAACCACTTACTAACCCCCCCCCAAAAAAAAAAAACAAAGAAAGACTTCATAAACTATCGTATGTATCATCCATCCATACAGCATCAAAATAACAGTTGAGAGCGACAAAGAAAGCTAATGTATACTTCGTAATTGTCCTCTTGCACAGTGGAACCTTCAAAAGAAGACCCAAAAGTACAAACCGCATAAAAGAGCGAAGAGGAGGAAACATGAAGAACAATACCTGATCCATTCCAGCAGGCAAAGGTTGGGCAACAAAGGTGGGGATCTCATCCATGAGCTTATCAGGCTTCCCAGAGTGAAGAATCCTGGTAAATCCACCCATCTCCGAATTGGGCTGATTCTGGAACTTCTTGAACCAGTAATACATGATTCTACACTGCCAAGAATTGTACACCGAGTCGGAAGCCGTGACCGCCGTGTGGAAGAGCCTCTTGGATTTGCCATTACCTCTTGATCTGTCAAGTGGCATCTTAATTATAGGATCCACAGAAATGGAGGACCTGGATGGACCAGGGAATTCTTGCTTGAGAGAGGCATTAGCCGAGATGAGAATATTGTAAGTGATTAGAGCCACTGAGAAGCTAATTAGAATTGCGAAGAACAGATTCCCACACCCCATCTTTC